TGGAGTCCCGGGAATCACAGCCGGCCGTCCGCGCACGCCGAACCCTGATGCATCGGGCGTCACGCAGCGACATGCCGATGCGAACCATCCAGAACCCGTCCGATCTGCCAATGTTCCGATTTGGCTAACGGCGGCACCACGGCTACACCGGAAATGATACCTACAAAAACGTGCCCCGCGGGGCTAGTGGCAAACATGTGGTCCAGCCCAAACTATAGTAAAACTGATATATTATCCCGGCCATTTGTTTGATTTCTCGAATTTGAGCAATTTTGGCCCCTTCACGCCCCCTAATTCTTACCGACATTTATAAAAACTCTGCTTTCTACAGGCTTCTATAGCACAAAACTGGTTCCCGTCCACCCTTTTTTCATTGAAAAAATTATTGATCACGAACTAGTCGAATCCGGTCGTTCCAGCGCATCTCATCCTCCCCGAATGCCCCCGTATGATTGTGACCCTTTCCCTATTACTTGGCCATTTCCATTCTTCTCGCCAACTACGACCTTGTGTGGGAGAATAAAAGATTCCAATGTTTTTATCAACGCGTTGCGCCGACAGCCTTTACAAATTTTCGCAAAAAGACACTACGTGCGGTCCTTGAACGCCCAAAAAATCACCCTCCTCTAGCCGGCGACAGAAATGTCCGATTTTGACGATTGGGGTCTCGATCGAATGCTTTTGAAAAGACGAGTCCAAGGCGTCACTCACTGGATTTTCGAAACTCCAGAACTTTTTCCACGATTTTCGGTATACTCTGCCATACCCCCAGGGGGTATACCCCCCATGGGGGTACAAAAGGGGTACGAGGTGGGGGTACAAAGGGGGTACGGGGTGGGGTACAAAGGGGTACCCCACCCCTACCCCCACCCCCCCCACCCCCACCCCCCACCCCCCCACCCCCCACCCCCCCCCCCCCCAGCAACCCAACAAACTTTTTCCAGTGACCTCGCACACATACCACATATCGGTGGCTCGCAAAAAATTCAAAGAGGAATGACGAAGTCCGCCGGAATTTCACCAAGGCAGTTAATAAAATAAGAAACTTGAACTAAACATTTTTTAAATTTTTGTAATTTTTTCCACTTAAAACATGTCTGAATTTTACTAAAAAAATTATTGAAACTCTTACTATAACGTTACCAGGGGTTTCTGGGTTTATTTCAAAAAGTTTGGTCCCCCGATAAACTTTCAACTTAAAAAAATGTTTAGTTCAAATTTGTTATTTTATTAACTGCCTTGATACAATTCCAGCTGACTTCGTCATTTCTTGTTGTATTTTTGCGAGCCACCGACATGTGGTATGTATGGGAGGTCGCTAGAGAAAAATTTGCTAGGCTGCTGGGGGTGGGGGGGTACCCCATTTGTACCCCCCACCCGTACCCCCCTTTGTACCCCCACCCCGTACCCCCTTTGTACCCCCACCTCGTACCCCTTTTGTACCCCCATGGGGGGTATACCCCCTGGGGGTATGGCAGAGTATAATTTTCGGCATTTATCAGGCAAAAGGGACACACTATTTTGTCAAACATTCAATTTACCCGGTTTAGGCGCTGGCCACGATGTGTTTTCGCAAATGGTTTGTATAAACCGGCCGTTGGGCTGCCAGGAAAGCCGGAAAACCTCAAATTGTGATTGTTGTAAAAAATCTCTCGGTCAGAAAGACATCGAAAAACCGACCATCTCGCAAAAATATTAGTAAACGTTAGCGAAATTTTAAAAATTTGATAATCGGAGAGTCTGCTGGACTCGCCTTTCCGAGAATTTTCGCTAGCTACCTAATTTGCAAAAATGGGGCACGGTGGCGGTCCGCTACAAAGGCCCGAAAAGAACAAAGGCTCTTTTTCGAACAGCCAGCAGGTTTTTTTACTGTTTTATCGAGACAAGTAACTTGAGGTTGGCCCCGAAAATCGTTGTTGCGCCAGTTCTCGAAACTAGCCGGCAGCTCCACGCAATTTTTACGCGCTGCATGGACGTTTGGCAGTGAAAATCAGCCTGGAATCCGTTCACGCATTCAATTCCTGAAAACGTCAAGGAAAATTGGTACGGCACGCCTTAGCATGATCAACCGTCCGCCGACGGCGTAGATTGTACTGTTCACGGCCAATCAAACAGGCCAAAAACGGCAATTTGCGGGAGGGGGCAAAAGCGTCAATTGGAGCCGGGCGTAGCGCGCGTCAAAAGGTTTTATCTACATTGAAAAGCCAATATTCATTATTGCAGAGTAAAATTTTACGGTTCGAATGATACCAAAGAAAGCAGGTTAGCCCTCCGAAATACCACTTTTCACAAAGTCGCCCACCAAAACCACCTTCGTTAGCATACTTTCTAAATTCAGTTTTGTTAGTGTTTAGTATCATTAGAATCGCCATGTTCTCTTCTGTCTTCTGCGTTTTTTAAGTTCGGCCATATCTTTCAAAATATAAGCCTCCAAAGTTTTAGACCCATACATTTTTGAGTCGCTGGGAGCGCCGCGTTGCCTAGCCCTTAGACCGCCAAGATTTCGGGGTTTCGGACATGTTGGTGCGAAACAGGTCCCCGCTTTGCTACAAATTGAGATTTTTTCCACGGTTTCGTAAAAGCTTTCTAAACAAAATCGATGTAGCCTTTTATAAAAGGCTCCAGGAAAAATTGCGCTTCTTTTGAGGCCTATTTTAGTCGTTTGTTGTGTTTATACACGAGTCTTAGCTACTTTTCCTGATAAATTTCAGGCGGTATTCCAAAGCCGTTTGAGGTGCCGCGCCCTGCGGTACTAAGTCTGAATGTCTCATAATGTCGGAAACATAAAGTTTATTGACATATGCTACTTCTTCCCGCCAAGCGCTGCCGACCAATCATGATCATGTTTAGACTCATGCCCGTAATAAGCAAACATTGGTATTATTTTATCAGATTCGAAAATTCTCCCCTTGATCGCTCTAGCTAGGCCCAACCTGGAACTTGAGTTCATCGCGGCAGGCCCATTCCATCTTCTCATCTTTCGCTGTGGGCATGTTGCTTTTCGGAGCAATTCATCATGGGTATTACGTTATTCGTCGGCTTTTCATAGTAATCAAGTATTCTCGGAAGTTGAGTTAAAAAACTTTTGTCGTGAAGAAAGAATTTTGTGCTCTGATGCGTTTTTTTTTGAAGGGTGGCAGGCTTGAAACTTCAAAAGTACTTAAAAGGAATGCGTATTTATTAATCTAGTAGTCTTGCTAATTGCTGGTAAGGAAACCGGTGGCAGTACCAATTAGGTGTTACTGCCGAAAAGGACTTTAGGCTCTCTCAACTGCATTGCGCATCACTAGCCTCTTTCCACGCCGACGGCGCCTGTCCGAGGGTCCAGCGGACTCGCTGCGCAGCGCTGCTTTAGTTTTCCCCTTGCTATATTTCCCTTTGTCATGCATTAGGTTCATCGTTTCTAGCATTTCATCGAGCGCTTTTAACTTTCCAACAGATATTCCATCCTGCCGCTAAGCTTGCCCAAGCCACGAAGAATTGCCGCGAAGCCCATGATTGTTTTAAGCGGTTTCGCCCGGCGCTCATGTCTATCGCTAACACCTTGTTCAAGAGAGTTCATGCTAGTTCCACGATATTTTCCCCGGTTCAACACCTTCACCCGCAACCGTACCAGCCCGAGCCAGCCCAATGGCCTCTAACTTGTTGTGGCCCAGCTGTTCTTGTTTTTCGGCTCACTGTTTTGGGAGGTTACCAGTCTCAGTTCCTTCCTGTGTAACAATTTGCGAATACTTTATTCACCTTTTCAGTCGCGCCGGACGACGTTCAGCACTCTCGGGTCGCTCACAAAATGGTCATCTGTCGAGAAGATTTTGATTAAAGTAAGGTGCTATTGGTTGCTTTTCATTTATCGGGTTTCGTGCCTTAGCAATGATAGTAAACTTCTTTTTGTTTGTCCTATGCCTGCCACGTGATAAAATTCAGTGTATTTTAAGGCTGTTTTGTAGCTTCCAATAAGCAAAATTCATGAAGCTTTTCTAGTAACTTCATGAAATTTCAGTTTCCCTGTTTTTCGACGATTTTTCATAGTTCTTGCAACAAAAATGCATCTTTTTTAAACATGTTTTTCTTCTGAATTAAAGAATATACAAATATACAAAAAGGTACAATTCGGTAAATTAATAAACATTTGACTGCTGGTCCCTATGAGATCTTCCAAAACTGCTTTATTGCACTATACACCCCCCGATAAACTTTTCCAGGCGTCTTGGGCACTACCAAAAAGCCTGCTCAGCGTTTCGCGGCGCCGGTCTGGCTTCTCTACCAGGCTGGATTATGTACGTTCACGATTCGAGATTTTGTGATTCGCTTGTTTTAGAACAGATATCCATTATGGCCGGATGCTGTTGCTTGCGACCAAGGAGAGAACAAGGTAGGAATGCCTTCGCGCTTCTAAAAACCTTTTAGCGACGGGCCTCACAACAAGACGCTAAGCCGCTCCAGCTGAAACTAGCCCACGCCCTCGTTTTCTACAAATTTCCAGGTAGTTTACCCCTTTTTCAGCTCAGTTTAGAAACGTTGACCGCCCGATAATACAACGCGAGTCAGGGCACAGGCACATGGGCTCCGTTGGAGGTTGGTTTGTTACAGCTTGACCAACACCCTCCCTTTATCAGTTACAGACAACTTTTGAAGTTTTTCTTCATAAGCGGAAGCCAGGATGGACTGCCGTATCCAGGTCATGTTTCGCAAATGCAAAATTAGGTGAGTTACTTTCGGCGTATACCACCTTATTTTTTTGAAATTTGGGTAGTGTTTGCGTAGCACGGTTCCTGTTGTGAACAAAATTCGCAACCGAACACAAACGAATCGTGCTTTTTAGGTGACTTGTGCGCAATTTACATGAAATAGGGTCGCAAACGAAACATAAAAAAGATGTTAATACCATTGGTTGCCGCAGCCAGTGCCCCTTATTTTGCATTTGCATGTGAGATCCGGAATGCCAAAAATTTTGCTTTAAAAGCGGTGCGAGCGCAAAATCTTTCTACAGCCGTTCTACCATGTCCCGCACGGAGGTATTAGATTTTTCCCTTTTTGAATGTCTAGTGCTTTAGCCCTTCGCTTGCAAAAGTATATAATTAATGAGTTTCCAGACCGACGCTGATGCCGAGGTTCGCTCAGCCATCACCGCCCTCATCTCCGCATTGATCGCCTACCTCGTCGCCCTGCCCAGCTTCTTTCAACAGGTAAACTGCTTCTCTTTACTTTTTTTGGTCCGAAGGCCGATAAACGCATGCTTTAATTAAATTCACATGCCCTACAATACTGGTGTTCCAAAAAAGCACCCCCCCCCCCCTCCAGCGGTTCGGCGGAAACTCGGATCAGGATTATACCATTCGAAAGCCCGCGAAAAGGCGAGAAAACAAGCGGGATTCATTTTCTAGGATTTATTATTATTCGTCCGATATTCAACGTTTTTCTAAAAAAAACAGGTATCCTTTCGCTCCGAATTTCGCAATTAGCACGCAGATCTCGCGTCAATCTGCCGTGTTCATGGTTTTTGGGGGTGAAATTCGCGGATAAAAATACATAATAAAGTAATTGAACCCTCCTTGTTTTCTCGCCTTTTCGAGAGCTTTCGAGGGATACCTAATCGGTGAAAAGCGCCTTCAGCCGATCCGGGTCAAATGATCGGAAATATTTAATGTTTTGCAGACTTCTGCGCGTCGCGTCCACCATCGTCGCGTCGGCCGTCACTACCGTGGTCTTCGCTACAAGGTAAATCTTGCCGGCTTCCTTCCATTATCTTTTAGTTTACTCGGATCCTAAGCAAAGTCAACACGTGCCGAAAAGCTGGAGGCCGAGATGTTACCGAGCGGAAGGATGAGGGATCCGAGAATGATGCGCCGTCGACGTGGTGGACCTACGTGCGACGGCTGTTGTGCTGTTGCCTCAATGTATGGCATGCGTTCTTAACGTTGATCTTGAACTATCGGCTGTTGTTTCGCATTATCTCGGGCGGGGGGGGGGGTCGTTTCGCATCTTACCAAATTTTTTTTTGTTAGGACCCAACTTTCAAATATAAATCGGGAAAGGTTTGTATCTAACCTCAAACGTACGAACGTACGAACGTTACAACATTTGATCAAAAATTAAAAAATGTTAATTTTCGACTAAAAATCGCCGTTTTTGACTAACATTTCGACTTTTGGAAATTTTTTCAATTTTTAGTTTGTTTCTGTAGGTGAACTATTGTTATTTGCTTATTATAAACACTAATAAACTCCTTCCTACTACGTTACTGCACTTTTCTAGGCGGGTATAAAAGAATTTTATCCCGATAATGCGAAGAACCCGATAGGCATACGCAAACTTGTGAATAGCCGGCCTTTGGCTTGCCGACGAGCTGGTTAGTCATCTCTCGGAATATTTTTTCGTCGGCTTGCTAAATCTTTTCCCTTTCATGGCGGACATTTTGCCGTGGATCCACGCAAACGCCGTTTTCAAGTCCAATTAAACACATCCATTTCAGAAACCGTCATCTTCATCATCTACACCCACTGCCTCGACGACCGATTGGCGAACCATCGATGTCCAAGTAATCAAGGATGTGTACTCCGGCCCGGTGGCCGTAATCATCTCGGACCGACACGGCCCCAACGTACCACCGATGCTCGACGAAGCGTCGGTCGAGCAGCTGAAGACGATCGCAGTCGAGGATGCAACGATGACAGGCGACAAGGTCTTAACGTACAAGATGCTTGAAGACGGCAACTTCGTGCTGTTTGATTCCAAGGTGGGTTTTGCTATTTTCTTAGGCCATATTGTAGCTGGACTCAATTTGTTGCTGGGCTACAAAGATGTCGTTGAAGGATATAGGATATTAGAACCGTGTTAATGGATTTTCTGCATTTCTAACCGCCAAACGGCAATCGCAAAATTTTCAGAAATTTGGATTTGGAGAAAAAGATAGAAATCTGCGCAAAAATACCAACTCAAAACGTGCTTTTCTAGTCTGCGAAGGATGATCAGGGCACGAAAGACTCGAAGAGGTCTGAATACCATCGCCGCCCCTTTTGGAAGAGCCGCTTCTTCCGAGTGCATGGAGGAGCCGAAAGTTTCGATTTTACAGAGTACTTGTCCAAGGTAATATTAAAATCCGGCGCGTACACCCTTCATCCATTTTGCAGGTCATTCGACGCGAAATGCGACGCGGGCGGCGTGCTGCGCTGCTGCTAAATCGAAACGTGGTGGTCGCTGGAAAGGTGTGATTTCGGAAGCAAGGCAGCGTGATAATTTGCAACGCTAGTTCTCCGTAGTTTGGTTTGACTTTTTGAGGCTTTTGTGCGAGTTGGTGAATTTTCAATCGTTGGCGGTGAGCTGATATCCTTGCATCCGCTTCTCGGTGCTGGACTGGTGGGGGGGGCGCTTTTGGCAGGGGGAAAACTGATATTTCCCAGTCGTCCCGTATGAAATAACCTATAGCGAAATCCAAAATATTTTTAAGCATTTTACACAGTTTTTCGATCAAAAAAGTTAATTTAAATGTCGAAAATTGTAAATTTTTAGTCAAAAATGTATGAAAAAGACTAAAAAGGTCGAAATTTTCTAAATTCCAAAACATTTAAGACATTTTTATCGCTTTCCGTAATCGAAAACTCCTAAAAACATTATAAAAATGCATGATATAATCAGGTAGGCATAACTGGAAACCAAAATATTGGATTTCCGTCCTGCTAGCTCCCCCGCCAACGGTCCAGTACCTGCTTTAGCCACCGAAGCCCTCAAAAAAAATTTAAATTGGCTTTCGTCGGTCAAAATGAAATGTTTCAGGCATGGGATGCGTTTAAACGTGACTACTTGGACCCTCAATCAGCCCTCCTCACTACGCTCGTCAAGGCGCATCAAAAGCTGGTGACTGCAGTGCGTGGTGCTTTTCGGACCAGTTAGCAAACCTATAAACGTACTTTTTGCTTTTGCTCCTTGGGAAAGTTCGTGACGGAAAAATTGCTGAGTGCTAATTTAATCATTAGCTATTCTGAGCTATTGAAGAAGCCTACATTTTCAGCTGACCCGGCAATTTGAGAACCTAACCCCGGAGCAAGTGGCAGCCACCGCGCAGCAGAAAACGGTGAGCTGCAATTGTCTTTCGAAAGAGCATAGTGCTTTTAGCATCATTTTTATTGCCCTTTTTCAGACGCGTGACAAAATCAAGGACGCGAAGGAGGAAGGTCGTTTGGACGAGGTACGTTGCATCGTTTTACTTAGCTTGGTCCTTGCATGTTCGCAACGCCTTTTCACGTGGTTATTTCAGACGCCGCCCGCTACTCCAGCCCGTCTATCGGATGTAAGCCGTTTATGAGAATTTATTGGCATATTCCAACTCCGAACGAGCCCCTTAACCTGCAATATTTCAGGACCCTACTTCCAAGTCAACCATCTCCGCCCTCTCGGTTCGTCGTCTCTACCGTTCCCCGTGCAAAATTGCGTTCGCCAGAAGCCTGCTAGCAGGAAGTCCATAACAAACGACACAGGCTAGCGCCTCCTATATTGAAACGCGGACTGGCCATTGGGGCTGCTTTCCAGAAGTAGGGATGGCAAGCTGGCAAAGATGAGACTGGACTGTTAGCGGGGAGGGGGGAGGGGGTTAAAATTTTTCCCAGGAATCCTGTACGGTTCTATAAAAAATCATAAAAATTTTGGGTTCTTTCGCATTATCGGGGGGGGGGAAGAAAAAGTTGTCTCTTTTTGATTTTTAATACTTTTTTAAATATAAATGGAATTAGTGCTTCTAATCTGTTTTTACTATTCCGAAGCGTAAAAACTTTAAAAATTTTTATTGAAAATACAAAAAAAAATCGATTTTTTTTATTATTTTCGTATATACAGTAAAAAGTTTTGATTTTTTCTCTTCATAGCCAATCGGTCTCATCGAGGGGCCCGTAAGCGAGTGGCATTTTTCGCCAAAATTTATGCAAAATCGGCTTGTAAATGACAAAATTAACGCATATTTTCGAAGCAAATTGTAAGGACCCCCGTATCAGATGCAAAATGAAGAGTTTTGCGCTATGACTTTAAAATGAGGGGACTGACACTCTCGGGGGGGGGGCAGAGTCGGAATTACCTGGCATGGTTGCAAAATGTTTCCTTCCAGCTCCCTAACGCTTGCGACCTGGGTCACTATGTCCCCAAACCGGCAATAATCAATTGAAAACCTGGAGCCGTTGAAACCTAGGCTCTAGCTGATTTCCCCATCCAGTCATAGTTGGCTTCTGGCGGGCAGATCGACGGACAGACAAACAGACGCCACCACTGAAATGTTATATTGATGCGCCTTTTTAGCCCGCAGTCGGCACCCTTGTCTCGCCCAACCCGCCGCTTGCTCAAATCTACGATGATGTTCGTCAAGCTGCAGCTGATAATGCATCGGTAATGCGCACTGTTATCGTTCGATCCTTCAAAATACGATCAGCACCTAAATAGTAAAAATAGGAAAGCGGGTAGCTCTTTACTATTCTTGAATTTTCAAAAACCTATTGAAACTCATAGTAATGGAATGAATCCAGCCAAAAGCAACACATTTAGTTTAATTGTTTTATTTACAACAAATTGGCCGAAAACCAGGGAATGTGCAAAGATGTATTGGTATTTGAGGGCATATTTTGCCTTGTCGGGCAAGGGGCTAACGATACTGGTGACCTTGATTTGTCGGGCGAGTTCTCCCGGTTGGGTTAGCGTTTCGGGCATTACACAGCACGCCATTCATCCTGCTACGAAATATATGTGAATGATCCTTTTTTAGCCCACTCGCGCTCATTCAGTGGCTACCTCAATGACACCTACGATTTTGCGCGGAGATGATGGATACAATGATCGATTGGCTGCCCAGAATGTGGATTTCGTAAGGCGCACTGTTATTCAAACAACTTGGTCCGAACCACGCAATAAAAAATAATATAGGAAAAATTGTTGATATTTTTAAGAGGCCCGTCGCGAGCGTCGCGAAAATTCACAAAGTGTTTTTTGGGTTCTTTTGCATTTCCGGGGGGGGTGACCTTATCGTTGGGATCACCTTTTTTTCTTAGGATATAATTTTTAAATATACAGGGTGTCCCAATAAAAAAGGTCACGCTGGCATTTTGCTATTTCAAATCCAATCGACTTGAAATTTTGCACAGAGGTGCGGAAGGGAATTCAAAATGTTCACAGAAACTTTCAGTCCGATCGGTACAGTAGTTTTCGAGTTATAGCAAAAATAAACTTTATTTTACGTTTTTCACCTGGATTCCGCCGAAATTGAGCCCTGGAATGTATGGAGAAAATGAAGCGCCGACCCTTTTTTATCCTAGGAATTTTTTATTTCGCAAAATTCGGCTTGGAAATAGGCTATTTACGTAATTTTAACAAAGTTTTGGTAACCCTGATGTTTAAAAAAATGAGGGCTTTAGAGCCGGAAATTTATGTTAATTGATGCAAAGTCCAAAACGATAGCCGAAAAAATGAAGCTAAAGTGTGGGAAAAACAGTATTTTTACAATAACTCGAAAACTACTGTACCGATCGGGCTGAAAGTTTCTGTGAACATTTTAAATTCCCTTCCGCACCTCTGTGCAAAATTTCAAGTCGGTCGGATTTGAAATAGCAGAATGCCAGCGTGACCTTTTTTATTGGGACACCCGGTAAATAGTGGCAGTGTTTCTAAATGGCTTTTTACTATTCCTAAACCTGAAAACTTTACAAATTTTTATTAAAAAACATAAAAATCCCGATGTTTCGACCAAAAAAGGCCGATCTTTGGCCAAACTGTCGACTTTTTCAACATTTTTTTAACGGTTTAGAAGTTTTTCTAGTTTAACTATGGTTATATGCTACTAGAAACACTACTAAAACACTTCTATTAAGTTACTAGGCATTTCTGGACGTAGACACACAGTCGCCCCCCCTTCCCCCCGGAAATGCGAAAGAACCTTTTGTATAGCCCCAACGAACCATACTTGGTACCACTTATGTTTAAGTAAAGTTTCCCTCCGATATTCTCCGTCGACCCCGATCCAAATCAGCCACTAACGCTCAACGTATTACCGTTTCCAGCATAACCTGCGTACGGCCCGTCAGCGTAGCCCCAGCCCCGCCCCCACTACTGCCCGTCCTTTCGACGACGATGAGGATCCCGCTGGCCTCGATATGCTGGCCGCGCAGGCGGACCTTACCACCGTAGGTCGATTGAGGAGTGGATTTTGCCGGGGTACTAATTTTGCCCAGCCCTCCCGTAACGGACGCCGTTATTTTACCCACGATGAGACATCGAGCGTTCGGTGGTCCTAGTTTGTTAGCGGGGGGGGGGGAAGAGTTATCGGGGAAAGATTTTTTTGTCGATAGCTTTTTTGTTTTAGAATAGATTATTTTGAGCTACAATTAAAACTCGTAGTATGTGTTTTTGATGCTCTATAAACTGGCGCCATCAGGACGTCGAAAATGCCGACATCTCGTTAATTGGCTGACCAACCCGTTTAGGGCCATTCCTGTTTTTGATAACTTTCTTAAATTGTAATGCGTTGACCTAGAAGTAAGACTCTTCGTATAATGTTTTAAGGTCGATCAAATGGGATTAGCAAATGCCGAAAAGTTCTGAAAATGTCGAAAACTGGATTCCTAGCCGGCATTTAGCCGGGTTGTGATTTTTCTGGCCATAACTACAGGGTGTCCCAAAAAAAATCCCCCCTAGCCGGCCGCAGACCTGTTCGATTTTTACGATTTAGGTATCTATCGAAAGCTCTCGGAAAGGCGAGTCCAGCATGGCTTGCCGATTTTCGAAATGTCGAAATTTTTTATCATTTACTAATATTTTTTGCGAAACGCGCGGATTTTCGGATGTTTTTCTGACAAGGCGTTTTTTACAAAAATCGCAATTTAAGATTTTTTATGCCTTTCCTGGCAGCCCAACGACAGCTCTTTGAAAGCCGTTTGCGAAAACACAGCTTGGATAGCGCTTAAACTGGTTAAACTGCGTTTTGGACAAAAAAGCGAGTCCTTTTTGCCTAAAAAAGGCCGAAAATCAAGCTAAAAATTTCGACATTTCGAAAATCGGCAAGCCGTGCTGGACTCGCCTTTCCGAGAGCTTTCGATAGATACCTAAATCGTAAAAATCGGGTAGGTCTGCGGCCGGCTAGGGGGGGGGGGGAATTTTTTTGGGACACCCTGTATTGGAAAATACCCTAAATTGAGCTGTGATTGAAAGTCATAGTATATTTTGTGGTGCTCTAACGGATCGCGTCGGGTAGCCACGCAAAAAAGCGAAATATCGAAAAATCTCGGACACTAAGGTTCCCCTCCAACCCGCCTGCCCCCAACCCACCGCACTGACCTTGTACACTTAGATCGTTTTATTTACTTGTTCTCCTAACTTTCTTATTTGATTGGTTTTTTCTGCAAGAAACATAAAAAATATTAGGCCTTCTATCCTTTATGCGTCAATTTTGCATAAATTTCGGGTGCGGTTGATCGTTCCTCCCCATGTACAACCTTATTGCCAAATTAATCGCGATCAAATGGATTTTTCGCCAATATTTATGCAAAATTGACCTGCAAATTGTAAAAACCCCATATTGTTGATGTGACTTTGAGAAAACGGAATTAAGTAAGTTATTTAGTAGTTCTTTGGCAATGACTCTTAGAATAGCTCGAGCAAAAGTTCACCACTATGGCTTCGCCACCAGTGTGAATAAAATTTGGATCGATCGGCGCCAGATCGCGCAAATATTTGGGGTTCTTGTTCGGAACATCCAATATCCCGATTTTTTTTATATTCCTCCTTTTCAGTCCGGCCGCAGACGCTAGCAGGGACAGCGATTACAAGCGCGACACGCCGGCCCGTTACCAAAATCCTCAAACGAATACTCGCTCGTCCTTTTGTCATGTGTCTAGATCTCGTATAGCTCATTCCAAGACCCTTTGTACCCATATTTGGCCTTCGGCATTCGTCTGTTCGTGTTAGCTAGAATTTTCGTAATAAAGTCTTGGTCCAAGGGTTGCCCATCATGTGTAAAGCCTTCGGTACTGGTGCACATGGCCTAAACTTGGCCGCATAAAGTTACGAGACACTCCACTTAAAGCGCACGTTCAGGGAGGGGCCGTGTACTCGTCCCAACGTGTACACCCTATGGACATAGGGACCGTGCGCACGGCCTGCCCGTGCTGTGACAGGCTATTCCCCTCCTTGCGGCCTGGGGCGCCCCTCGTCCCCTCGCCAAGTTGTAGCTGTGGCTGACTGATATCCATCCGCGCCTCCCGAGCGGAGGGCCCGGGTTCGACCCCCCGGCCGCGGCAAAAATCTTTGCTTTTTTCCAAAAAAACCTCCCTGAACGTGCCCTTTAAGCTCCTGTGCGTTAAAGGCACACCAAAGTCTCGTTGGGTTGGTTACTGGCCGGTAACTGTCCGCGGGATAGCAAACAGGGTTACGGTAAGGGCTGGCCGTGGAGCAAAACCGAACCCGCGCCACTCGCCTGTAACAAGCGCTTTGGACGACTATGTAGGCCACGCGGTTTTCTCTACATGGCTAGAATTTTTTTGGATTTGCTGAAATTGCGTCTAAATTTGCGCTCCTGCACGTTTTAGCACCAATTCGGCCGAAACCTCGCCGAAAATGGCCATTTTTCAGTAAATCATTCAAAACGGCATGATAATTGCCCAAAAAGAGCCAAGAGGAAGTGCCTACATTTACAAAAAAATAGTTTTTTTTTGGCGCTAACTTCAACTATACATTAGTTTGCTTAGAAAATACGGTAGATATAGGCTACGCGGCCGGGGGGGTTGGGGGAAATCATTGACTTTTTCGATATTTTCTCGGGAATTTTGCGACGCGATTCGATAGGCATCGAAAAATCTACTGAATGTATTTGTTTTAGCGCAAAATATTGCGATATTAGCAGGGTATTGCAAAAACAAAAATAACCTGTGAAAATCGCGTTGGAACGGCTGACCCCACTGACCCGGAGTAACAGTGCCTTCGCCCGAAATTTCGGGAGTCGTCTTTCAAAAGCCGGTTGTAAGGTGCAAAAGATTCCGAAGTTGGGCGGTTTAAAACGCGGAAGCCTGAAAGTCGTAGACCCTGACTTTTGAAGCCCTGTAGCAAATCTGAGCGACCTGAGTGGGTTGCTATTTGGAGAAACCATTTTTTCGGCCCAGACTAAATCATTTATGAATAGCGGATGTTATTCTACATTGTTTTTAACTGGCCTAAGGCATAAAAATGTTACAAATTTCACGCAAAAGTCTAGTTTTCAATGGAAAAATTGATGTTTCAACCCAAAACGACCAAATTTTCGGGTTTTTTCAAGCATTGTTATGAATGTTTTATGAAAGTTTTTCTACTTGAAATATTAAGGCTTAGAAAAACAATGTGCAGACAATTTATCTTCGATTACTAGGCCAAACGGCGCTGCCAGGAAAAAAATTGCACACAGAGGCGAATCTCGTGAATTCGAATTTTTTCAGGAACATCCTGAAGACGTGACGCAAGTCGTGCGAATCGGTCGACCTCCCTTGCAAGAGGTTAGGTTACAACCTTCACGGGCTAGCAAGCACATAATCATCAATTAGAAACTAAACTTCGAATCTGCGTAAAAACTCGTGACATAGATTTTAACTTACATAGTTATTACTTTCTGCAACCCTGTTTTTTTTGGGGATAGACCCGCCACTGACGAACATGGTGCGACCCATTGACAGTAACTCAGCGCCCTTTTCCGCGCCCAACAATACGACACAGTCCGATTACGAATTCCGTAATTATTAAAGCGTACCTCGTTGCACTTTTGACGAAGGCTGTAGCGGCTGTGTCAAGTGAACCGAGCCCTTTCCGCCGCACTACTCTGTCCTCTGTCCCTGTGCGTTCCCCCCCTTACCCTTTTGTAAGAAAAATCGGTGTAACTTTCTAAAGCAGGCTCTTCAGCAGATTTGGAAAACAGATTCGGAGTTCCATCCTGTGCGAAAACACTTTACAGTGAGGCCACAGACTCAGAGACAATCCTAATTGGATCGTAACAGCGTAGTTTAGAGCGCATTGGGTTCGCGAGGATTCATACTAGGGAGGACCAGTTTTTTTCGGCCAAGCCTTAATTTTTTTTAATGAATAGCGGATGCGAAACTGCATTGTTTTGAACTAGTCCTAAGCGTCAACAATTTACAACTTTCAAGTATCAGGTTAGAACGAACATTCTGTCGCCGAGATTTTGGAAGGCTGGCTAAATTCGCAGATAGCTCCATTCTGCACATGCGATATGTCATTTTGTAGCTCTCCGCCTGAGTCTGAGCGGTTTTGGGAGGAGGGTCCTGGGGCCTTAAAATCAAGAACCGTCGAGATACAGGCCTAATACGTTTTTTCTTTGTTATCTTTGCATAGAGCCATGTGCATGCCATACCATTTACGCCAATCGATAGCTCTCGAGAAGCAGATATTGATAGATGTTGAGATCATCAAAATTGGACACTGGATGGTCGAGATATGGGCCCTTGTAGATTGCCCATTTCTTACAACTTTTCCCGGTTCAAGATGGGCGTACTTACATAACTAGTTTCGATGTGCGTCTGTGAACAATCATTTTCTAGTAAGAAGAATATAGCATGGCTTTCAGGAAAAGGTGAAGCAGCCGACTGCTGCCGCGACTCGACGAGCACCGGGCCGCCCGAAGAAAGTGAAAAGAGTCAGTAATTTTTATTCAGATCCACATTTCCGCAAATATTTACGAAATTTCATTTTCGTATTTTCGAAAAGCCATATTACCGAAAATCAGCCGGCAAAACGGCCGGAAAGGGTATGAAAATATTTTTCTTTTGTGAGAATTTAAAATTTTCATTTTCGGAACAGTGATATTCGATAAAAATTACTACGGAATTTTGATTTTCGTAATACGAATTTCCGAAGAAGTGATTTTCGGAAATATGATTTTCGAAAAAATCATCCCTTTAGCAATTCCGTAGTTTTGCTTTGCAGAAACGGTCCATTAATGAAAGCAGCAAAATCTACCTTAAAAATCGCTTAACTATTCATTTTAGGCAGGCCCTCCGCTGCGCGAACGTGCGGTAGGTGTATTCAGCATCTCTGCTCGTCCACCTACCACGAACGGCAGCTTTTAAAACCAAAACTTTTTGATTTAGCTCTTTTCCATCAGTTTTGATTGAAGTAGGCAAAAGGGAAACGTTCCCAACAGCCTAGCACCCGTTGGTCTGCAATCTCTCAAAAAAGCGTATGCGACGGCGGGATCTTCATCCAAATCAATGCTTCAATCACCTCTATTACGGTACGCCATTTGCGACTGTGGCTTTGCTGGCGAATTCGACTTCGACTACGGGACACTCGCCTGTTTTAATTGCCGCCGCGATTTCCGGTCAGTTCCTTCAATGGCGGTCATGAGCAAACTACTTAAGGAAGGCATACAATTGGCACTGTGGCTCGGGAAAAACAAAAATTAAAAAAACGACTTATCAAAACCAAACAAATCAAAATAATTAATTAAAAATTCTTTCTATCATATTACAGCGATGCGCTCCGGTACAAACCGAAGAAAGGGACCGAGTGCCAGCTGAAGTGCACCCCGAACGGTTGGTCTTCATCCTGCCTTTTTTCCGCCCGAACCCAAAGTGTTCAATTAGTAAACTTCAATTTAAAAGTTTCTGGCTTCCTTCAGAAAAATTGTCTTGCTGGCCACCCTCCATAGCCCTCCTCTCAAACAGAACCGAAACATCTTTTTCTTTCAGACCGCTGCGCCCACCATCGACTCCAGAGGTTCCTCGAACGCGGTTTTCGCCCTGAACTCGTCAAAGCCAAAAAATGATAGCTGCCATTGATTAACTGATTAACGTCAATTTAATTCTCCAATGAAACCGAATAAAGTGCTCTATGGAACGGTACCGCGTCACTTGCGCCGCGCCACTTGCGCCTGACATTTGCACCGCGACACTAGCGCCGCGATACTGAGTTTCAGCTACTTGAAAATGCAATTTTTTTGCGCGGAGTCCGATTCTGGTTCAAGAAACGCTCGAAAGGTCGTTTTGCGCTAGGACTCACTCGATTTGGAGGGAAGGTAATTGCTACTTCTTCCGCTCTGCGACTAGAAAAAGGCACCGTGCCACCTAGCGCCCAGTCGCGTCGGATGGGTGCGAGCTAGTACAGGGTTTCGAAATCGGGGCGCCCGAGGCGCGCGTAGCGGCTAGGCGCTATTGAAATTGACTACACGTGGAGAGTACGCATATTTGCAAAACAGGAGCTTGTGCATTCTCAGGGGGGTGAGGGACGAATCTTCGTATGCGCTCAGAGAAAGAGAGGCAAGGAGAACCATCGATTCTAGGTAAGGCACGACTGAATTCATCTAAAAAACCAACTATTAAAATTGACTACACGTCGAGAGTACGCATATTTGCAAAACAGGAGCTTGTGCATTCTCAGGGGGGGTGAGGGACGAATCTTCGTATGCGCAAAGAGGAAGAGAGGCAAGGAGAACCATCGATTCTAGGTAAGGCACGACTGAATTCATCTCAAAAACCAACTATTAAAATTGACTACACGTCGAGAGTACGCATATTTGCAAAACAGGAGCTTGTGCATTCTCAGGGGGGTGAGGGACGAATCTTCGTATGCGCAAAGAGGAAGAGAGGCAAGGAGAACCATCGATTCTAGGTAAGGCACGACTGAATTCATCTAAAAAACCAACCATTAAAATTGACTACACGTCGAGAGTACGCATATTTGCAAAACAGGAGCTTGTGCATTCTCAGGGGGGTGAGGGACGAATCTTCGTATGCGCTCAGAGAAAGAGAGGCAAGGAGAACCATCGATT